TGTCTCTAACGGTTTCGGTGGCCCGTTCGGTCCATTCTATCCCTGCTAACCTTGGCAGACTCGGGTCACCTGGTCAGAGATGGGGAGAGCCATAGTGACTGCTATGACTTCAGTGTCTAATATGGTATCTAGTAATTCTTTTAGAATTTGGTCTTGAAAATAAAAGATGGTCCAATTGCTCACCTCCACGGACACAAGTGCAATCTGCTGTGTCCATCCTGGCTGAGCACAGCCTGGGGTTGACAGGAATACAGACACCACCTTCCTGAAGGGGTCTCAAATTCCATAGTGGTCAACGCAGCCAGAGCCAATGAACTCAAATCAATCAATATCTAATCCCAGGAATTCGCAGTCCTCCCCTCCTGACAACAGCATCGCATGCTACCACTTTCTTCCAGGGGCCGCTGTACTGTTGCCTATATTTTTGAGATAATCTCCATCTATTTTCCGCTTTGGTTTATCTGCACATCCCTCAAAATAATTTCCTATATTTAGGCCTCGAAAATGCTTGTATAAGTCCCTTTTACAAGTATGTATTAATTTAGCTTCATCTGTAAGCAGAAAACAAAACCAACTTCTCATGGTCCCAATTCCCAGGCAAACATCATCTAATATAAGCTTTAAAAATATCACCCAGAGGAAAGGGTGTAAATTACTGAAAAAATAACTTGAAAGCTTTTGGAGAATCGCTTTTTACAAAAAAGAAAATCCCAGTGATCATATAATGTGAATTATTTCTTCTCCTTATTGTATTACTATGAGACTGAGAGGAATATTTTATCATGGAAACAATTGGCTTGATGACAGGAACAAAGAATAAGTGCAAGTAATAGAGACTGCTGCTTGGGGTGGGAAAGTGTTAAAGGTAGAATTCCCTCACCCCTGATATTGGGATTGGCTTTATCTAATAATTTAAAGTATCAGAAAAAGAGTAGATTCAATCAAATCGCCAAAGCTGCAGAAAATATGATTTTTTTTTCTTCAGACTGTGAGACACTACCCGCAGAGATAAATAGCATACAGATCGGGGAGACTGTGTAACTAGGCAGAAAATCAGGAGATAGATTTCAATAGAGGAGTGCCAGGAATTTATGGAATAGCCAAAAATATACAAATAGGGCTCAGAGTTCTGTATATCAGTGAGACCCAGGCATGCGGGTTCTGAAACTATTCATGTCATTGACCCAATGGGTCAATGTTCCACAAAGACCAGTAAGCTATTGGAAACCATCTTGAAAGGGATTGGAAACAACACACAATATGTTATTGTGTTGTTGTCCAAACTGTCTTCATGTCTGCTGATAAAGGGAGATGTGTGAGAAGTTCCAAAGTGAAGGTTACAGGGCCACTGACTCAATATGCACAGGGGCCAGGCGGAACATACAAGTAACATAAGGGGGTGGATGCAGGAATCTGTGCACATCACTTTGCAAGGTAGAGGCTCTTTCCCAAGCCAGCCCAGTGCTGCTCTGCGGAACCACAGTCTCATGCTGCCAGCTCTTCTGATTTTTTTTTCCAGAAATCACTAATTCAGTTGAGAAATCTCTTATTTTCCAACTGTTGACAATTAATTCCAATGTACAAATCACACACAAACACACACACACACACACACACACACACACACACACACACACACACACACACAAAACCTAAGCTGTTGGGCCAAAAAAAACAGGTCTCTAGACCAGTGATGGCGAACCTTTTGAGCTCGGCATGTCAGCATTTTGAAAAACCTAACTAACTCTGGTGTCGTGTCACATATAGAAATTTTTGATATTGCATCATAGTAAAACA